TAATTTTGCCTAGGGCTTCATATACCACTCTGTTTTGCACCTCTAATGCACTTATAATTGTGATACACAATAATATAGGAAATGTCTTATCGCACTCTGGTCTATAAAATGTATCTCTTGGAGTGACACCTCATCTCACTCAAAACAGATGCCTGCATTGGCCATGTTAAAAAATGTTTGTCTTATTCTACATGTTGAGTCCCTCATCTATCAGTAGGTGGGTCACAGGCTTTGTCTTTGGTCCCACTGCACTAATCAGATAGATTTCAAAGTAGCTTGTGTTTTCAATGTTATCGTATAAATTGTTCTCTTGCCTCTCTGCTCCTTCACTGTGTATCACTTCAAAAAAGTTTCCGACGTTTCTCTGAAACTATCCTTTTTGACATTTTTTACATCACAATAGTATTCTATAACATTCACATACCATAATTTGCTCCACAACTGATGGGCATCCCTTATTTTCCACTACATAAAAATGGTACTACAAATTTTGTACAAAGGCAGTTAAGATGGCATAGGGGATCAAGTGATGGATTTGGAGTCAGAAAAACCTGTTCAAAATCACCCTCAGATGCTAGCTTTGTAATCACAGACAAGTCATTGAACCTCTATAAGCCTCAGTTTCCTCATCTGTAAAATGGGGATAATACTTTATAGGATTGTTATGAGGACCAAAGAATATAATAAACATGAAGCAGTCTGCAAACTTAAAACCTTATTTAAACACTAGGTCCTTTCCCTCTCTTTGAGGTATAGAGGTAGGCCTAGTTAGGGGTATCTGGGTAAGTATAGTTTTGCAACCTTTGGGGGCAGGGCATAGCTGTAAAGTGCTTTCCAGAATATCTGGACCAATTCACAGCTCCAATATCAATGGTCCTGTTTTCCTGAAGTTCTTCCAATCTTTGTCATTCTTTTTTTTTTTTTGGTCATCCTAGCCAATGTGATGGCTATGAGGTAGAAGCCTAGAGTTGCTTTAATTTGCATTTCTCTAATTATTATCAATTTGGAGCATTTTGCTGGCCTTTAAAACTCATCTTAAATTCAACCCCTTGAGATTTCCCTTTCCCCAAGCTGCTAATGATTTCCCTCTGGCATTACCTCAGTCTAAGAGTATTTGCCTCATACTTATTTCCAGCTTATCTCCCCCATTAGATTAGGATCTCTTTGAAGGTAGGAACTGTTTTTGCCTTTTTTTTTTTGTTATCTTTAGGGCTCAGCCAGCCATAGCTTTGTGAGTAGGAAGTATTCGATAAATGCTTGTGGACTGCATATCTGTCTCCTACCTGGGACAATGCCCTGCGCACAGGTGCTTAATAAATATTTGAACTAAACGTCTATTTAACGCAACTTGATACAGTTTACTGCTCCTTTTGATGTTTTGCTTTTTATTATTTTCACAAATATCTGAAGACAGCAACTTTGCCAGACTGCAACCACCCTTCATATGTCTGCTTCTTGATTTGGTCTGTTTCCAGACATACACTTCCCATCCCCTCTAGGTACCACAGAAGACAGAGGAATTTGAAACAGGCAAGAAGTAGTTTTGCCTTTGAATCCTGGATCCAAGAGAGGTCTAGTTTGTTAACTGTCTCTCACTTTATTTTCTTCTATCCTCAAGAATGAAAATGTGTTTTGTCTCAGAAATAGCTTATTTTAACTGATTTTTTTTGGTAAGAGTGTTTGCTAAAATGTTAATGTCTGATTCAGATGCAGTGATTGCTATAGACTTATTCACATAAAATTCTTCCCCAAAATCACAGTTTTTAGGAATTATTTGGGGGCAGAAAGTTAGATATCGCTATGTGAATATTTTACCTTAAGCATTTCTCTTTTCAAGTTTTTGGAAAATGGGCCTGGTTTAAAATAAAACAAAACCCTCTACCATTCCCACTCCTAACCTCCATCTTTTTTGATCCTTAATAATCCTACTTCAACTCCTTTTAACTAGAGGAAAGAGGAATGGACTGCCAATAATGGGAGAGGGTGAGGTTTGCAATCCCAGTTTTGCTTCTTCATCTGTAAAATGAATGATTATTTAGGGCTGGAAAGGATCTTAGCAATCGCTACAGCTAGATTTAGTTGGAAAGGAGAACTTTCAGTTCAACTCTTCCACTACCACAGTAAAGTGACTTGCCCAAGGTCACACAAAGCAGCAGTAACAGGGGAGGGATTAGAACTTGGATCTTTTAATTCCAAATTAAACATTCTCCAGAATATCACACTGCCCAACATGTTTTATGTTTCATGAACAAGACCCTTCATTTCTCTGCTCCCGACATTCTCTCTGACTGTTCTCCATGCCTGGAACACTCTCCCTCCTCTACTCCAGGTACTGACTTCCCTGGCTTCAGTTAAGTCTCAAATAAAATCCCAAGGTCTTCAGGAAGCTGGCCCCAACCCCTCTTAATTCCAGTGCCTTCTCTGTGTTAATTATCTCTGTGTTAATTTATCCTGTCTATAGTTTGCTTTTTATGTTTGTATATTGTCTTTCCCATTAGATTGTAATACAGAACATTATTTTACCATTTAGGTAGTATGGCCCTTTAAGCCATGGAAAGCAATAGTTGGTGCTTAATCTTGCCCCACACCTCTTTCCTCCTAAATCTAAACAATAGTGAAATGTACTCTTGCATAGCTCAAAATAGCCCATACCTCCAATGCAAATGGATAAGAAAGCTTGCAATATAATTGCGTTATATAATTATGTTTATACCAGAGACCAGGACACCTGGTCTAGTTTGTGTGATCTCTGACCCATAATAATGGGGTGCTCGGGTGCTTGTGCTTGTACTTGTGCCCCAGTTTCTCCCTAGTCTTAGAAACACTGTCTCTAACAACCACTCCCCAGCCCAAGGACACTGTGCCTAGCAGTTATTCATACATGGGCCTCAGCATGACCCTTATCTCTCTCCCTGGTACAGCTACACAGAGCTGGGCTGCTGAGGACCCAGCCCTCAGATCATGTCTCTGGAAGCCTCCCAATTCCTTAGTAAGTTCTTGTGTTGTGAGAAAGCTTTCCCTTGTTGCAGAGCATTCTTTCATCAAGACAGAGGGAGAGGGGTGTCCTTGGCCAGCCCAAGGACTCTTCCTCCTGCCAGACTCCAAAGATCCATCCCCCTCCCTGTCTGGTATACTCCCTGTACTTTCCCATCCATAGCCCCCAAAGACACCTGCACCTTCAGATTACCTCATCAGTGTTCCTGGCATTTCTTTCCTATGCTCTATTCCATATAAACCCTAGCTCGACCCCTTGCAGCCATGCGCTAATAAATCCACAATTTAAATTACGTCTGGGTCTTGCTCGCTGATTTCTCGGTACAACAGTAAGCTTATGAAGGACAGGGACTGTCTTTTGCGTCTTTTTGTATCCCCTCCATTTGCACAGTACCTGACACACAGAAAGTACCAAAGAAATGTTTGCTGATTGACCTATTGTCTCCTAGATGCGGTACTTCCAAAGAGCAGAAGCCTCCCCAGACTAGCTGGGGAGCTGATTATAAAACTTGCAGTGTGAACCTCAAAAGCTACAAATTGGGGCTTGATTTATTGTTGTTGATTGTCTAGACTTAAGAAAATGATGGAGAAAATGTTGTTAATTCAGGTTAAACTTTTAAGTGTGTTGTGCATAGGACATTTTTTTTTTTGTGAGAGCTGGTGTAAGTTTACCAGCACACTCCTGAGCTACTCAAACATTCTGTGATTCTTAACAAGGCAGGTCACTGCTTCCAGAGCTGAACAAAGCTAGAGGCTGTTTGCTTGGCTCAGTGGCTACTTCCTGTTCTTTACTAAGGACACTCTGAACCCAGGGAAGAAAGTAAGGAGCCAGAAAATTGTCCCACGTGCCCAGGAAATCTGCTGCTTTTTGAATTCCGATTCCCGGCTGCTACCTTGTCCCCAAACCCTCCTCCACTGGGGAGTGAAAGAAGAAAGAAAATATCTGCAAGTTGTCATTTGCTACTGGTGTCCAGTGAGAAGCTCACAATAGCACTACAGTGTTAGAGCTGGAAGGCACTTCAGTCAAGTCAACAATCACTTTATTAAGCACCTGTGTGTACCAGGAACTAAGCTAAGCCCTGGGGGATACTCAGGCAAAACCAGTCCTTGCCCTCAAGCAGCTTACAATCTAATGCAAACAACTAGGTGCAAACACTGTATGAAGAATGTTTTTGTTGTTCAGTTGTGTCAGATTCTTCTTGATCCCATCGACCACAGCATATCCTTTACTACCTCACAAAATCTGTCCAAGTTCATGTTCCTTGTTTCTATGACACTATCTAACCATGTCATCCTCTGCCATTCCCTTTTCCTTTTGCCTTCAATGTTTCCCAACATCAGGATCTTTTCCAGTGAGTCCCACCTTCTCATTATGTGGCCAAAGTGTTTAAGCTTCAGCTTCAAAATATACACAGGATGACCCTCGAGTCCAAATCCATTTTACACATGAGGAAACTGGCATCAGGGAGGTAAGGAGCCACTGTTTCTCTCCTCTACAAAAAGATAATGTCTGATTCAGAAGCATTTTTTGCTGTGGATGGCTTCACAGCAAACATTTCCCAACTTCACAATTTTTAATTACAGTAGCTACCTCTCAGGGTTGTTGTGAGGATCAAATGAGATAATACTTATAAAGCGCTTAGCACCGTGCCTGGCACATTTGTAGGCGCTGTATAAACGCTATTATATCATTGGGCTTTTATTATTACTGCTGTTGCTGTGGTTGCTATTGTTATTAAATCATTCCGAAAAAGTAAGGCTGCCTAGGTGGCTCTCTAGTAATACTTTTATCTTAAGCATTATGAACCTTTATCCTAAAAGCAAAATTCAAGATCCAAGTCCCAAGTCGCTATTATTGGACTGCGGGTGGAGTCACACCTAGCCCCGGGCTCCATCGTTTTGTAGATCTACAAGTTGGGGTTCGGATAGCCGGGGCTCGGCCCCTCGCACCTCCCTCCTCAGCCCCCCATTCCGTAGGTGCCCCCCTAGGGCCTCGAGTCTTTTACCTCTGCTGTGCACCTGGCGATCTGAAACGGGATGCCCTTGAACAGCCCCACCACCTTCAGCTGCAGCACCACCTGCGGCGGCTGCTTCACACTGGGGCAGGGGTGAGGCACGGACGGCTGGCCGGTGGGCCGGCTGTCCATGACCCCCTCCCTCGCCGGCGAGCACGCTCTCGCGCAGCCGCCTCTCCGGGCCGAGAGACCAAACAGAGGGCCGTCCCCATGGCAACCGCGGCGCCCGGAGGGGCTGCCCCCTCCACTCGGAAGGGAGGGGGCAGCCCTAGAGCGAGACGGACCCGCAGCTCTTTTCAGTCGCTTCCATCCCACCCCGCAGTGGTCCGAGGCGCCCCGCCCACGCACCCTCACATGACACTTAGGAAGGTCCCCAAGGGGCGTTTATTCACACCGCCAACTTCCTATTTTGTTCGGCCGGTCTCCCTTCCGGCCTGACCGCCGATCGGTTTTCTCACCCGGCGGCGATCCGCACTGCTTTCCCCTGAGAGAGTTGGGGAGGGGGAAGGTTGCGTAGATAGATGGTTGCCTAGGTAACGAGGAGAGGCGAGGGGGCGGGGCCGAGGGGGCCACGCGCGCGGGCCCTCGATGGTGGGGGCGGGGGAAGGAGAATTCGGGGAGCGCGAGCGCGGAGGGGGCGGGGGGAGCCCTGGGCGCGCGCTCTCGGTTCCTCCCTCTCGGGGGCTGGGCTGGGGGCGCCCCTTGCGCGCGCGCCGACGTCTCCACGCCCCCCCCAAGTCTGCGGCAACTCGGCGCGGCCCCGACCAGGCACCGGGTGCGGTGCAGACGCGGAAGGAAGAGGCTCCGAGGGCTCCGGCGGAGAGGGGTTCGCCCAGGTCCCCCTGCCCCATCCCGCGCCGCAGCCCGCTGTGTCTCGTCTAGAAGCTGCCAGAGGTCACTCCTGGAAGGAGATCGGGCTGGGGAGGGAGCATTTCGGTCATCTAAAGGGGGGGGATGGGTGCATGGGGGGACGGGCAGGGTCCTACTGGAGCGGTGGAGGGGGCCACCTGTGTGCTACTCCCGCCCTCCTCCTCCTCCGCAGGCTTGGCAGGGTCCTTGCACGAAGTCGCCGTCCTAAGGGACGTGCAGGGAGATCGAGGCAGCGCAGGTCCTGGGCCCTAGGCATTCTGTCCTGGCAACCATGGAGTCCGAGTCTGGCTCCTCCGTGCGCTTGAAGGTCTTCAACCTCAACTGCTGGTGAGGGACGGGGGATAGGCTGATAGATGTCCTTTGTCCCTAACAGGTGCAAAAGTCTGAGGGTGGGGGATGCATAGGAAGACCTGACGTGTAAATCCTTTGTTTCTGTGGGATGCAAAAGCCTGGAAGGGGGGGTGGGGTGGGACGCGCATAAGAAGACCTGTCAGATATATCTATATCTATATCTATATCTATATCTATATCTATATCTATATCTATATCTATAGATATATATCCTTAAAAACCTGTATGGGGGTGTGGCATAGGAAGACCTGACAGATGTAAATTCTTTGTTTCTTCGAGGTGCAAAAGCTTGGATGGAAATGGGGGGGCATAGGAAGACCTGCCAGATGTATGGTCCTTTGCGGGGTGCAAAAGCCTGGATGGGGGTGGGGTGCATAGGAAGACCTTACAGATGTAAATCCTTTGTCACTTCGAGGTACAAAAGCCTGGATGGAATGGGGGGTGTATAGAAAGACCTGACAGACGTATATCCTTTGTTTCCGTGGAAAGCCTGGATGAGGAAGGCGTGTGTGTGTGTGTGTGTGTGTGTGTGTGTGTGTGTGTGTGTGTGTGTGTGTGTGTATGTGTCGGAGTGGGGGGCTTGGAATAGGATTTGACAAATGTAAGTCTTTTGTCTATACTCGGTGCAAAACCCTGCACTGGGAGGTGGGGGGGGGAAGGAGGACCTGACCCATGTAAATCCTTTGTCTCTGCGGTGCAAAAGCCTGGTGGGGTGGGGTACACAGGAAGACCCGGTAAGATGTATGTCCTTTGTCTGTGCTTGGTGCAGAATCCTGTATGGGGATGGGGAAAGGGAGAGGTGAAGGGCATAGATGTATACTTGATAGACCTATATGGTTTCCGCGTTCTATCAAAGCCCAAATTGGGGTGGAGTTAGACAGGTGTGAGGACATAGGAAGATGTGGACAGATCCATTGTATCTTTGTGGTGCACAAACCTGGATGGGGGGGTTGATGGTGAGAAAAGGGGCACAATGCAAAAAGCCTGCATGGAAGGAAGGGGGCAAGACGGGGTGGCACCCGACTGATGAATATCCTTTGTCTCTGCGCATTGCAAAAACCTGGACGGGTGGTTGGAGGTGGGGTCTGTCTTTCAAGGATGACGTCCTGCCTCCACACACCCGCCCTTCCCTCTCCCCCACCCCCATACCTGGGAGACAGTCTTGTGCAGCAATACTTAGCTTTGGTAGTAATAACAGTAGCTAATGTAGCGCTTTAAGGCTGGCAAAGCCCTTAGACATGATTCATTTGATCTTTACCTATTGGACCTCTTTGACAGCCTGGTGAATCCTAGGGATCCCTTCTCCGAATCATGTTGCAAAACGCTAGAAGGAACAGGCATGTCAATTAATGCAATAAATTGTAATTTTACTTTGAAATAAAAACATTTGCACCCTGCCGGCTCTATTTTCTTTGCCTTGTGGATAAAAAACAAATTGTACTAGAGCAGTTGACACAGCTTGGTCCTTTGGAAGTATTCTTAAATTCTGGTCCATCTGTAGTGTTAAATAATTGAAGGAAATAGCTAAATTTCAGTTACAGGTTAGTGAAAATAAAGATGTGATTTATTTTTCTCCCATCCAAATTCAGAGACCCTCTGAAATCTATCCATAGACTCCAGGTCTGAGATCTAACCCTAATACCCTGCTTCCAGCTTGTGTCATTTTTGGGAAAATGGGCCACTACACAACAAAAAAGACTAAAAGCTACCATCCCCAGCCCCCCATTCACAACCATGTTCTTATCTTTCCCAGGGCTATTCCCTACATAAGCAAGCATCGGCAGGTCAGGGTGCAGCATCTGGGGGACTTACTGAACCAGAAAAACTTTGACCTCGCCTTGTTGCAGGAGGTATGAGTGTGAGGTGGTTGAAGGGAAGGGGTCAGGGAACCTGAGGGTCTGGGGAAAATTGCCCTATGCTAGAGGCCATCTGTGCAGCTGCAGCCAGCATCCTGTCATCCTCAGGTGTGGAGTGAACGGGACTTTGAATCACTAAGACAGAAACTGCTGCCCAACTACACTTGGGCCCACTATTTCCGAAGGTGAGAAGCCCCCAGGGATCTCCCGAGTTCACCATCTCCTTCCTGCCCCCTTTCCTCCCATCCTCCCAGCTTGGTGTGGGAGGGAGTAGAGGAAAAGGAACAGAAGAGTGTTTTCTGCTCATCTTCGCTATCTTATCACCACCTCTGTATTTCCTCCGCCCCCAGGCACAGATCATGGCCTTGAGCTTTGTCCAGGGAGTGTGAGGGGCACCATATTCTAGCACTAGAGGGAGAAAGGGGTGGGAATGGGAGGGGAGCCCCCTTTCCTTGGCCACTAAGGCATGATCTGGCTTTCAGTGGATTCATCGGTAGTGGCCTCTGTGTCTTCTCCAAACATCCAATCCAGGAAATCTTCCAGCATACGTACAGCCTCAACGGCTATCCCTACAAGGTAAGCCTTTTTTCTGATCACTGCACCTCTACCTTTCCTTTCCCCTTTCCCCGAGTTTGGGTGCTTGGAGGGCAACTGAGATAGTTCTTGTGGGCTTAGGCAAGCTCCTTGTATTGTTTCCTACCCCCTGTTTTGCTCCCACCCCATAGGGAACAACAGGATATAAAGAAAAAGCTGTCTTAAATTGGTGGGGGGAGGGAGAAAGGGAAAGGTGAATCTATGTCCTGGATTTAATTATCCTAATTTTTTAATAATGGGAACTGTTCTTACATTTTTGTATTTTCTTGTTTGTCCCTTGGTGGGAGGGGATAAAAGTTAGTTATCTAGTTATTTGATTACGTCTAATTGCGGAGAGAGTAAGTACCACAAGTGCCACTCCTGGTTGGCTGAGAGAACTTGGGACTGGAAGAATGGACCAACATCCTTGGTCCAGAGAGCACAGGTGTATCATTGAAAATGCCACTAGGAAGAAGTAATTGTGGGCAGTATCAGAAGGGGCAGTTTACTTAGGGATCCAGGGGACCTCACAGAAGAGTTTAATAAACAGTAAAAGCAGCCTGTTATAACAAAGGAGGTGCTGGTTTACAAGGCCTGGGTTCAGATGTGGGCTCTTCTCTCACTACCCTGTGTGATCCTTCTTTCACCTTGAGTTCCCTACTTTATAAAATGAGACTAAATTGTCTCTGTGGTAAGAAACCACAGAGCAGGAACTCTGAAATCATTGGGACAAGCCCTATGAAATCTATGGACTCCAGGTTTGAGATCTAACCCAAATACCCTGCACTCAGCTTGTGTCATTTTGGGGAAAGTGGGACTGGTTCTGAGATGAAGCTGAGTATTGGGTAGAGAGCAACACTCCATTTGAAATTACCCTCTTATGCTCCTCCTCCTTCCAGATACATCATGGAGACTGGTTCTGTGGGAAAGCTGTTGGCATGCTGGTTCTGGAGATCTGTGGGATATTGGTCAATGTCTATGTGACTCATGTGAGTAACAACCCCAGAGCAGGGCAGGGCAAGGCAGGGCCAACAATGAAATGCAAAGACTGGTTCCCAGATGCTGTTCCCAGCTCTATGTAGTAGGTTCAGCAACAGAACCTCCTGGGAGGAGAGGATCCCACAGGTTTCTTAGAAAGCTTGTGAGGAGAAGGGTTCTAGCCACATATTTTCCTGTATTTCCTGCCCTCCCAAGAGGACATAGAATAGCTGGACATGGTCTATCTGTCTCTCTCATTCTCTTTCTCTCTCTGGCCCTCAGCTCCACGCTGAGTACAGTCGAGAACATGACTACTACCTTGCCCATCGAGTGGCCCAGGCCTGGGAACTGGCTCAGTTCATCCAGTGTGTGAGCTGTGGTACTTGGACTGAGCAGGATAGAGGAAGCAAGGGTGGAGCCTAGAGGGGGTTGGGCTAATGGGCTTGCTTGCACCCCGAGTTGGAGGGATGGGGAGTCCCAGGGAGTGGTAATTTTTGGACTTGATTAAGCTCTCACCCCTGTGTCC